GCGACGAGGCGAACGCGAGAGAAAAAAAGGCGAAGAGAAAGAGAAAATAATACTAGGGGAATGAAAAGGATTAGAATGGGAAAAGAGAGAAAGAGGCGCGCCGGTTAGACACGATGCGCGGAGGGATACGGTTAATCGTTGGGAAGCTATTAACTTCGGACTGGAATGCCCCATAGCGCCTCATTTCGTTCAATGCAAATTTACATCCGACGTCGACCACCTAACGGGCCTCCCTTTCGTCTCTTTCTCTCTGAAAACTACGCTATATACCGGCCGTTGCTTCCCATCCTTCCTCGATGTCCCCTTCGAATCGACCAAGCCTCTCTATTCCTATTCTTCTCTTCCTATCTCTCGGCTAAGATCGAATCTGTCCGAAGTGGCTGAAGAAAGAAGAAATTTATTTTCTTAGAAAAATTTACGTGTCTCTCTCCTCTCTCTCTCTCTGCTTTTTGTATTCTTGAAACGAAGAAAAATTTGTCTCGTTTAGATGGAGATCAACTCGTCCTTGCTTCTCCGAATAGAAATTCTATTAATTGTAGAATTTAGCATCGTGTAGTTTCGAGACATTGTCGAGGCATAAGTTGAAGGATTTGTAAATTCGAAAATGATGCCTGATTGAAATTCTTGGAGAGTAATGGTCTCGAGTGGTAAGCGAGAGGAAGCTGCTTCAACTTATCTAATTTGGATCTCTCTCATAAACGATCAACGTCGTAATCGGTGACCCGCTTTGTAGCTTCACCACCAAAATTTGAACCCTTCTTGCGTCGCTCTACCCCTTTCGGTTCACCTTGATCGTCCTATCGTCGCTGTTGTCTTATTAGTTTAGAACTTACGCTTAATATAAAGTTGCGTGTGTCGCTTACGATGAAAGTCTTGCTACGAGACACAATGACAAGTTGGAATATACGGACGTGGTAGTATTCTGTCTGCGTAATTCCACTTTTCTCCCTGACAATGAGCAAAATATCCTGCAATTCGTCCATTTTGTTCATCCGTGTTGTACATCGAAAATAAAATATGAGCCGGAGAGGTGTCGAAAAACGAGAAAGAGAGAGAGAGAGAGAGAGAGAGAGAACTTTCGATGGATCGATTTTTTCAAAATTCCGCGTAAGGTAAATCCTGTTTAGCGGCGAATACAGAGACGATACGTGAAGGCAAAGTGAAATATCGCGCGCGAAACTGTGCATCTTAACACGGAAAATAACACGTATGAAGGAACTCACTGATAAATGGCTACGTAACGGGTGCTCAAGATACACATAGTTAACACCGGAATGCGGCAGGAGCTGACTAACGACGACTGATGCTCTCGCTATATAATTTCAAAGCGTACGCGCACGCATACACGCGCGAAACGAAAATGCCGAGGCAGCCTTACGGCACACCTTAATATGGACAAATGCCAGACTATATCTCAAATGAGGTTTGTTTTGCATTATTCGGCTAACGTCCTCGTTTGCCATCTTTGCTCGGCCCGCTGCCTCGCGTTATAGCTACGCGGATTGCCATATTCCCCTTTTTCATTCCACCAAAATCCGACGACGGTTTCTTGTTACGCCCGGACAATATGTCTTTACGTTCGTCGCGGTTTAGAGCGTTGGCAGAACATTCACCACCATGACTTTCCGTTTCAATGACCAAACTTATCCTCCGTCCGTTGATACTATGCGTTTACGTCTACGTACCTCGATATCAATTAAAATTCCAAACTTATTCTCTATCTAAAGATTCATTAAAGTGATGTTATTATAAATATGTATAACTCGTATACATTGGACGTATTGGACGTATATATACGTGTAGAGGTTACAAAAACGAATGCTTTAAATTCGGTTAAGAATTATATTCGTTTGAAATATGTAAACGTTTATTGTATTAAATTGAATTGCTCGTAAGTAGGGAAAATAATACGGAAAAACACATACATCTTCTCCTTGCATTTTAAAATAAGAATCCAACGTTTTACGGTCTACGGATAACGTAATAATATTTTTTTGTGTATTTCTTTTCTAAACTTTTCCTCCATCTAGCTATAAGTTTACAATGATACGTTAACAAAAAGACACGTTGTCTTTGTAAATTTCTTTTCGTTCGACTTCGTGGTAAAATTTCTATAAAATGTCTTTAAATTAAACGTGAGAATGCAACGAAGTAGGAACGCATTCTTTTCCAGACATTTGATGTGTTTATTCATAATGTTACAATGTGTCACATTCTATCTGAATATCTTTTATAAAATAAACCGTTTATTTGAAACGGCTTGCGTCCCTCGTACGACATACGGACTAAATGCTCTGACACTTTTCACTTTCCCCTCGTATTACCGAACACTCGAGCGGTTAACAATTTTAACCTTTGACGAACCTTTTTTCTTTTTTTTTTTTTTTTTTTTTTTTTTNCGAAGGCTAGATTAATATTTTAACTATAGATCGTGTTCAAGTTTTCGTACGCGAAACACAAACGTAAAACATTTACGTTGTGTTCGAATTCAAAAATATATAAAGTCTAGCAGGAATAGAAAGGATTTATTTTTACATTCAAAAGGAAATGAAACTTTTGCTCGAGAAAATATTTGTTCGTAACTTTACCCTTGATAATTTTTACGAATATAACCGTTTCAAATTACCATTAAGAAACGTATAATTTTTCTACCACGCGTTGCTCCGACAAGCTTCCTCGTAAATTCTAACCGAATCGACGATAAATAAAGATTTTATAAAATTGAGCTCGTTACCCATTATGCATTGTTTAACGTTGTAAGATGGTATAAATGCGTAAAGCATCTTATGAGCTATTTTCTTACGAATTAAACCGAATAACATGGATATGGAAACGTTTTCTTTTTTTTCTTTTTCTTTTTTTTTTTCAATTAAACGGTTTAACGATTTTTTCGATTCCGTTAAACGAATAAAATGATCAATTATTATATAAGAGATATTCGTTGCCATCGGTCATTGTTCTATGTTTCATTGCGGTTCCACCGCAAGGGTTTTCCACGAACTCGTTTCGACGAGGATTCCCTCGCGCGCAATCTCGTTTCGGAATGGCATTAAAGTTGAAAGGTAACGGGCATGGAATCCGGTGGCAATAAGTAGGAACAAGAAAAACGAGGAAGAAGGGAATAAAGAAGGGGAGGGGAAACGCAAGGATCGCGAATAAACGATAATACGTCGGATTTTAGAAGAAACCGTGACGAGACTCGAGACATCCGGCTGACTGACATTTAACAGAAACAGTTGCGGAGTTAATGGTGGTAACGAGAGGGGCAGAGAAACGCGGCACAGGGGTTGGGTTAAGAGAGAAGGGAGAAAGAGGGTCAGGGAATGGATGTGTTCACATTATACCCTCTGTTCTTTTAATTTCTTCAAAGAGCTCCTCTTCCCGCGCGACACCTTCTTCCTTGCGCTCCAGCCTCGGCTTCCGAATTAATAAGGCGTCGACGATCTCGCGTCTTTTTTCTCTTCACCCTTGGACGGGACGCAGACAGCTACCAAAGTGAACGAGAACTCTCGCTGAGAGGATAAAGGAGAAGAGAGAGAAAGAGAACACTCTCTTACCGGTACTTAACAACGGGATGAGATGAGCTGCCGTTAATAAATGTGTTTCTACTAACTGCAAGAGAATGAGAGGGTGGACGCGCGCGCGCACACACACTTTTCCTCTCTCTTTTTCTTTCCTTTTTCTTCACATTGCGTACCACCGAGGTCTCCAGAGAACAAGTCTTAACGAGAAGAAAACTTTTAAACGTACTCGGCTCTCTCTCTCTCTCTCTCTCTCTCTCTCTTTCCTTGGCGCTACGCTGCGCTTAGCATCGCATTTTTATTCCCCCGCAAATGAAACGCGATAGAAGGGAAGCTGGTTTGATCGAAAAACGATTTTATTACTCGGGACATTTTGTGAACGGGGAGTAGCATAGTATTAGTCGTTGTCGAGATTCTTTGTCCGGAGCAAGAAATTGATATTTTTAAAATACGTTCTTCGACCCTTTTAACGTTACAGTTCCATCATCATTAGAAAATGTATTACACTATATCACGGTGTTTTTATTTTATTTTATATTTATATTATTATTATTATTATTATTATTATTATTATTATTGGTGTTGTTATTGTTGTTATTTCTACGCATTTAAAACGAATGGAGGAATATTACTCTCAATTTTCATTTGTATACGCAGTAAAATACAATATATAAATGTGAATGAACGTGAATTTACGATCGAAAAGAAATCTTACGCAACGCGGTTCGAAGTTAAAAGTTTCGTTGTTTCTCGTTCCTATCGATATTTGAGAAATCTTTCTTAAACATCATCCCAACTCCCAGGTTCATTTCCATGGTTGCCATCAAAGAAGAAGCACGAAAGAAGGAAGAAGAAGTACATTCGATATCATCGGGTCTCGTTCATCGTCTTGGCAAAAACTACCCTCGGGTAAAAGAATAATTGCCCCTTGATACGCGCCGATACCCCACCTACGGGGATGCCGGCCTGTAATGATGTTCGCGTTCGTTCGCGAACTTAGTTCGAAATTAAATATCGAGGCGAAAGAGGGTGGCAGGCATCGCGGCAAGGGGATGTTAAAGAGAAATCCCGAGAGTAAGGGTGGTGGCATGGGCAAGGAGGCTTGTCGTGCACCTGCTCTTTTCCCGGACCGCCGTGATAAAAATCAAACTGGAAAACAAACGAGGAACAGGATCGTATTATAAAGTTTATTAATCGATAGACGATGCGCGGCGAGGGTGAAAGTAGAATTTCAGGGACCGCCCCTATCTCGTTACGGTACGAAAATTAAAATTGCAGTACCAGTCGAGATAAGAGTACGAGCGATTAAACTTTTATCCAATTCTACTTACCATTTGTTACTGTTGCGATTCCTCTCCCCCCTCCCCTCTTCCCCCTTTTATCTCTCTGACGCGAAAAAATGTTGACGAGGGAAAACAATCGACGATAAACAAATCCGAAATAATTATTAATTTATTTTTCTCCTTTTTATCCTTTCAGAAACTTCGACCTACCGACCCTCCGATTTTCGAAATAAAACATCTACTGATTAACGAGACTGGCACGCAACTGGTATTGTGGGGTAATCTAGGCCTCGTCATCATGGAACTTCCTAAGAGATGGGGCAAAGATTGCGCGTTCCAAGGTGGAAAGAAGGAAATACGTTGCATGTAAGTTGCCATCAAATTTATGCATCGTCGAGCATAACGTATTCAATTTTCTTTGCGATATTTTCTCGAATCAAACGCGATCATTATTATCCTTATTCTCTCGAATCTCGCTATGATTGACGACTTAATTCCTAATGATCAATCCTTAAAACCATATTGCTACAATCCTAACGATAAATTGTCACATTATTGAGATTTTCACAATCCCGATATCGAAAGATTACAAAATCAAGCCGTATCCCGTATATATAAATCAAGACATCGTTCCTCGCCAACACGGCTAATTATTATTACGATTAATTTCACATTCTAATAATATTTGTTTTTGGAATAACGTCTCGTAATATTTTATCGTTTAAAAAGAAGAAATATATGAATGGTCATGCTTCGTGATATATTAATCTTATTTCTCAACGCAGATGGAAATCCGCTCTACAATAGTTACTTTATTGCTGAAGGCATAAGATAAGTTTAAGACTGTACGTGTGTGTTCGTGTACGTGTCTATACGTGTCTGTGAAATAAATATTTAACGTAAATGAAAAACATATTCGTTCGTTTTTCTTAACGAATCGAGAAAAATGAACCTAACGAACCCGCTGAATCAATCTCTCCTTGAGCAGAAGTTTACAGACCAAGAAATCCGACTCCTAAAAAGCGAGATAAGGTAGACCGCGAATAATAAATCGCACTATCTGGCTTCCTGCACCTCCGTAGCTCCTGTGGGCGTCTCCTAATATCCTGTAATTAAGAGGGTGTTACGATGACGCTCGAACCCCTTTGGCCTCCCTCTTATGGAATTAAGGTGGCTTTACTCGGTTAGTTTTCAAAAGTTCCAGGCTCGGAAAGCACCGCTGAATACTAACCGCCTCATCAACGACACATGCCACCGAGACTACTGCCTTGTGTAACATTACCCTCCGCGCCACCTCTGTCACGGCGGCATCTCCGCCTTCTCCTATCTAATCTTTCGCAATTAGCCGCGAGTTTCGAGATTATACCTCATGTTCCTCCATACCTACCCTTTTTTCCAATACCTGCCTCTCGCCCGATCCAATTCTTCAACGTAGTACTTCCCTGCTTTGTACTGCTGTGTATATTCGTATTTCCGAGTGAAATTTTTCCCAATTTTTCGTCTCCTTAGTAGTACTTTCAGAAAGTGTCTTCATTCCACACTTTTATTTCCGGAGGATTATCCATTGACACGGGATTGCGTAACGACACAGTCAATATGATGTCGTTAAGAGGCGTGCTAGAATGTAAAAATGTCCGAATTGAGTTAAGATAAAATATTGTAAAGTATCGTAAATCGTATCGTGATAAAGTAAATTTCATCTTGAATCTAATATTCGAGTCAAATATATAAATGTATAAATATTAAGATATTCGATGATTGAATCGAAACAGGTTAATAGACTCGCGAAAACGACCTTTTTCCGATGTGAAAATTAATAAAAACCGAAGGAATTATTTTAAATTCGTTTAAAACTCTGTAAACGCGACGTCTCGTAATACTTGTATATTTTTAAACGACGATCGATCGATCGATCGCGATTCATTTATTATTATTCCACAGTCATTTTTCGATGTATCTTTCACCGTTAATTTTTACCGAATATCGGTGGTTAACCAATGCTAAAAGACGGATGAAAGGTATCGCGAGGGAACGAACGGGAGGAAAATTGTAATTAATTCGAATTACGATGGACGACGATGCTACTTAATTCAACGGTGTAAAAGGGTAGCCGTGGTTTCTCTCCAACTTGTCTTTTGCATTATAATTTCATAATAAGTCCAGTCCGGAATAAATGCATTACCTTCCTGCCGACTTCCCGCTAATTCATAATTCCCAAGTTTTTCCGGAAACGAACGAAACGTTTAGCCCCATGAACCGCGGGGCCAAGCTGAACAAACTGGTCAAATTAAGAGCGGCAGTTTATGCTAAAGTTTTTTCGTTATTTCACTTAAGCGATTCTACTTTGCTTCCCGACACCCGGCCGCACACCGGAGGATCGAGGGAATTTATAAGGAACGCACGCGTAACCCCCGTTAAATGTACGAAGCAAAAGAGCCACGGAACACTTTGTAAGAGAGTCGCAGCCATTAGAACGAATCTCGGGGATTTAATGTCTCCTTCCTTCCACCCGGCTTAAACATACCTAAATGGAGTTTATGCATTATTGCCCGTGAAGTTTCCAGTACCGCGGACAGATATTTGCGCCCAAAGAACCGAAAGTTCTTCAGACGTTGCGCCCCAAACCTCTCTTTACCCTCTTCTCACGATTAATCGCGATTTCGATCTTCCGCTCGAATCTCGACTCGAATTCGTGTCCCGACTTTATCGAAGGCAAACTATAAATGTATAAATGTCGTTCAAAATGCACGCGATACCATAAGTTCCACTCGATAAAACATTTGCAGTATCATTTTGCCACGAGGATTAAATAAATCGCATTTTATTCTCTATTTTATTTTCTAATAAAAAAAAAAAATCGAGCAATTTTCGAAGAAATATTTGCTGAAAAATAGTTTCGATACGGTGAATATTTCGGTGCATGCTCATCGGCCAACAGATCCCAAGCTTCGAAGCGTGGAAAACCGAGCGACCGAGCTTTGGATTAAGCAAATGACGGCAATAATAGTGATTATTCGGATTATGATATCAGAGTGCGAAGTGGGTTCGCTTGGACTTACCAGCAGCCACTAACTGCTACGCCACCAAATCCCGACTTCAAAGACACCGGATTAAAACTATTACCACTTCCTCCACTCTTCGGCCTCCGCCGTCCAAAACCTCTTCTTTTCTCTTTCACCCTTCTTCGCGGACTTCCTCTTCGAAACTTGCGAACGACAAACAGGGGATCTAAGATTTTATCGGCCTCCGCTCTTTCACCAGGTCATTGCAAAACGGCATTTTTTTTTCACTCCTGAAATATCCAGGATGTAAATATATTTGGATATTTTCACATTTTTTAATTATATAATTTATAAACGAGTTAAACTCGATCGGCTTCGATCCACCCTTTCGTAACGAAATCGTCGATTTCTTTTCCCATGGAACGAGCATCGAACGCGTGAATCGAAAGAAAACGAGAAAAAAGTGTAAAAAGTGTAAAAAGTAAAGTAAAATTCGCGCGTATAATTTGTATCGTAGTAGATAAGTCGCAACGCGTGGTATCGCGAATCGCGGTATTAATTCGGGAAACGGACTACGAAAGTCCGTAGCAGCGTAGTTATTTCGTGCACACCGCACCGCACCGGTGGTGGAAGATGGTCGCCTGTTGGTTGGCTCTCGCGGCTAATTATTGTTTTAAGGATTACCGTTATGCGTTTATTATGCGGTTTGGGAGCACCTCTTCTACCTTAATATTCGCTAGATTTTAGCTTCGGCCTACGTACACGAACCGGCCTACATTTATGAATAATTTTCACCTCTCGACCACTCCGCTTTCGACAAACGATTCCTTCGAATCGTCCCTCGAGTACCTTGCCTCGTAAACCTCTACTAATGTCGCGTTCTATTCTCGCCTATATACTTATTCGCGAAAAAAAGGGATAACGCAAAAATATAACTTGCTTCTTTTTTTTTTTTTTTTTGGTTCCTTTTTTTTAATACATGTAAGATATATTTCTGGAGAAATATGTACGCGAATCGAGAAAGAAATCTTTTCTTTTTCTTTTTATTTTCTTATTATAAAAATACTAATATTTTAAAATACGTCTTACGATACTTTGTTTTTCGCATTCATAAATGGATATTTTGGTAAAATCGAAATAAGTTGAAAAAATTGGATCGGCGAGGAGATGGAAGAACGATTGGGAACGAGATCGCCAAGAGATCCGGAAGCACGTGGCGTACGTGCTACGGAATATTTTAGTGGCACGCACGGAACCACCGCGACTAACCACCATCCACCCTTTGGTTCGGGAAGGGGTGTTGGAGAGCAGCCTCGTATCTGTCCCGTCGCCGGTCCCGGCCACCGGCGACGAAAGGGGATAGGATGCGTTTATTTAAAAAATGATTTAACCTAATGGTTTTACATATGTAATCCCGATATAAAGCCGAGGCTAATCTCGGAGAACCACGCACGGTCCACTCGTACATTCGGCCCACGGTAATCCACATTCGCGTCCACCCATCCCCCACGTGTCTCCACTTCCGCATCGCCACCCTCCTGACCTGACCTCGCCGTTCAAACCTCCCCTCTACTCCCCTTCCATTCCTTTTTTTCGGCCAACTTTTTTTCGATGAGCAAGCGTTAACGAAAATCACCGCTTTTCCAACATAGGCCGCTGTGTTTTCGAGGGGGGAAGGGTGAGGGTAAGTCGGTAAGAGGGGCGTGTTTGCGAAGGCCGAGCATAGGGTGCGTCGTGCTCGAGCACGCGTCGGGATGATTTAGATGGTCCCCGATGATATCCACGCCTTTTGAAAAATGTCACCACGCCGAGGAGAAAAATATAGAAACCGCGCGCGACCAACCTCCCCACTCCCCATCGTCCGGTATGCGCGTCGCGCTTTATCAGCCCCGCACCGCGAAACTTTATTGCCGGCCGAACGATATTTCTCGTCGAATCAGCGGTTAAAAAAAAAAAAAAAAAGAAAAAAGAAAAAAATAATAAAAAAGAAAAAAAAGAAAAAAGAGAGAATGAAACGAACAAATAGCGATCATCGAAAGAGGATCAGAGAGGATCGCGATCTCTAATTCGTCGCTGTGAGGACTTTCTATCGTAATCTTTCGCAAAAATTTATCTTTCTTATCCTTATATTGAATGATACGAATCGTTATGCGTCATCTAGATATCGTAAGATCGCGACGCAAACGATACAATTACGATACGAATTGGATAATTAAGCGTGCAAAAACGCGTGCTTACTTTCCGTCTACGAGGTTACGAGGATTCGAATCTCGAAGATTACTAACGCGAACAATGCGGGCTTTGAATGGCCTTTCCCCGCGTTTCCTCGCGGTTTGTCGGCAATGCGAATGAAAGAAAGTTGGC